ATCGACAACATAGTGGCGGACATCAAACATTAATGATTGTAATAGTTTATTTAATCAAAACTAGAAGAGAAACTCTTGAATGGGATAATAAAGAGTCCTTGCTAAATCTAGAAGACACGAGAAAAGAAATTAATATATTTGATAAATCTTGGCTTAAGGAAACAACTACTATTCCTTCCATGTACTAATCTATTAGTACTAAAAGATTAAGCTGAATTTCTTCAGTGAGTATTAACTCGTATCAAGTAGTATTATTTCAGCAATTGTATTGAACTGAATTTTGTTCGATTTCATTCATTTTCTTAATTCAGCATCAAATTATTATTAACAACAAAAAATTTGAATCCAAATAATTACTAATTCAATAGCAATTAATTTCATTTTGAAAATACAATTTGAATCCAAACAAGTCGTTTCTGTTTTCAAATTTAAGGCCTCCCATAGCATTAGTTTCTCATTTTCAACAATCAAGAATACACAACCAGATGCTTTACAGTTCACAAGGCAGCTCTTTATGTTCAGATCGATAAAAAATCATTAGAAACCAACAAAAACTCAGGCCTCGAGATGAGAATTAGAAAATCAATCCAAAGCCGGATTTGAATTTTTAATCACCCTTTCAATTTTTCTTTTCCAACATTAGGCGAATCCAATCCTGAACACTCAGATCACAGTGAAGCCAGGCACAACAAAAGCACAATTCTAGAAATCAATTACTAGATCTTGATTCTAACCAGCTATTATTAAGAACATGCAACTACCTGCAGACGGAGACAATTCTTGAATGAATTCGAAACAAGATAATGCTCACATCTGCATGTATGCATATTACTACTTACTTTGAGTCCATCGACGGAGAGGAGGCCACTAAGAATGCACTCCTTGAGGCCGGTGCCAAGAACAATGATGTCATATTGTTCATCCATGACGATCGATGTACAGAATTATGAGAAATTTTTCAAACAAAAATAAAATAAAATCAAAAGAAGTTTACGGAGAGAGAGAACGAATTGAGTGAGTTTAGAGAATGAGTGATGGATGAATATTAACGGTTTTATTTTGGGGGAAAGGAACGAGTCCTTGGCGCGGATTTGTATTTGCTGATTCATTGATTCCGCGATAATATGGGAATGCTAATTTAAAATAATATATCAATAATTAATTGGGTGGACAGCAAAAATTGAACGACAAATCTCAACTCATTTATTTAATACGTTGCACATGTACTTAATTATCGATAGCATGTGAAATTCATATAAATTTTATTTTGACCATATATTTCAAGACGTATCCATAACGGTGTCCACCCCCTCACATGGTAGGGGATCAACTTCGAATATATTATATTTTATTCGAGTGGGTCCCTCTCCATGTGAGATGGTGAACACCGTTATGAACACGACATTATGTACGTGCAGCATTACCCATATTTCAATGCATCCATAAATACTATCCACTCATTCATTTAGGACGTGTTCTGTAGAGATTAAAATCGAATTAAAATTGAAAAACTAACCGTTATTGTTGACTTTTATTAGACAAGCGGGACCCAATAACGGCTATATTTTCAATTTTAATTGAATTTTAAACTTTCTCAAACATGCTCTTACTTTT